AGACTGTCATGAAAAGACCAGATACAGGTCGTATAGTGGCAAAAAGAATCTGATTTAGGTCACTTCAGCTGCTGTCTGAACGTATTCACCTTTGATGTCAACCGACACTGGACACTTCCACCCCATCAGAGCACTGCCCCGGGGTTAAAGTGGCCGGAACATATACAAGCGCACCGGTCAGTTAGGCTGAAATCCAGCGATGCGTAGTGTTCTAACAATACACTGGTTATTATAACAACTATGAACAATAATGAACAACTAATGAGCCTTCCAGCATCAAGCCCTCCTTGTATCTCAACCTCCGTCTTGACAATCCGATAGCCTTGCTATCCGACATAGAAGAAGGTTTTACATTTAGTGTCGGGTTATCGAGTCACGGCTGTATTATTGACCATCCACTGCTATGTCTGAAACCACCAGCAAACACGTCACAGCTGCACTTTGAGCTTTTAGAAAACGTCCTCCCATGACGTGAACGCCACAGTTCGGGGTTTTCCTGCGAGCTATTTTGAAGGAGGCGTCGCTCACTGCTCCTTAAACATCTGTTGTTATACCGGCCCTGAACAATCGGCCGGTATTGTTGTTGTTTTCTTGTGACGCTAGACTGATCTGATTGTACAGAATTAGATTATGTTTTAACAGCTCTGAATAAACTCTGATTCGGCTCAGCGTTTGGTGTCCTTATTGAAACCAGATATGCTTCACTGAAGGTTTGTGAGGAACTCCGGTTAACACTTTTACTGGTTTTAATTTGGTCAAAGTATCGTGAAAATAGAATGATTTATTAGATCAGGATGATCAGGCTCTAAATGTTGTTGTGATCCACGGTAGCTCGTGTTGTGTAACTGTAGCTACTCTTTCTGGTCCACATCAATATTTTAACTGTCTTCACTGGTTCTTTCCGACACCATTACGACGACGTCTCACATTGATTTCCGTTTGTTTTTCTCACAATACCTGCATTCAGAGTTAAATCTTTTTATTTTTAATGGAATAAATGCAATTCATATTTAATTTGAAATAAAAAAAAATATCTCAGGAATGAGGAAACAATACCCGGTAGGTGTTTGTGCTCGGTGTGTAACGATGTTCAGGATGGTCAGTACCATCCACCAGGACCCAACAGAACACTGCACTGTGATGAGATCATCAGCGTTTTATACCTCAGTCAGCATCATGACATTTTCCTTTAACGCTCAACATTCCTGGATTTATTTTTTTCTCTCTTTAGTCGCTGCGAGCGTCATCTTTGAGCGATATAATATCTTCATTTCCTGGGCATGTGGGGGCGGCGGGAGCCCAATCAAAGCTTCAGACATATTTTTGCCAATTTCAGGCTGACATAATAGCATGTGTACTCACAGCTTCATGTCGTTATCTTCCTGTACTTTTCCGTTTGTCCTCTGAGCGACACTCACATGTTCCCTGTAAATTGAATCAGACGAGAACACCGCGTACACGCTGTGTCGGCTTGAACCGAGACGCTGCCAGCCTCTTCTTCTTCTTCTTCTTCTGCATGACTTGACCGACACCTGTGCAGGAAAAGAAACGCCATAAAACGAGAAAACACAAATGCAAAGAAGAGCTGGAAGCATGGCAAACAGAGATGTGGCTGTGTAAGTTGTGAAGCAGCTGTTCCCAGAGGAAGTAATGAGGCTTGTTGTTGCCATGGTTTGTGATTCATGATGCTGCTGAAGTCAGTTATCGTCATTCTTTCTTTCTTTCTTTCTTTCATTCTTTGTGATTATTGGTTTTCATCCCAAACAAACACAACTTTGAGGGATTAAACATTGCCACGCCCATCAGGACTGGTGAAAGATTTGATATTTTAAAGAACTTGGACATGTAAATGGAAAAATGGCTCCACAGGGACAAATTTTCAGCTACGAAATTCAGCAAGCATATGTAGCAGGACGCACAAAAAACTGTCCAGAGCTTTTCCATAAACCCAACAGGATGTCCGCATTTTTGAAAAATCAGCGAGCGTTAGGGCCAATTTCGGCTCATTTATCTCTTTATCATTTCATCTATCTCCTCCTTGGGGAAACATCATACACACCTGAAATTGGGCCAGTTAATTAAAAGTTATTAAGACTCTTTGCAAATGTCTGACGGCGTGGAAATGCTGGTCTCTGGAATTTCCGTAAAAGACCATGTTTTACATTTTTGTTGTGTTTCTGGCGTTCAACGGACTCTCGTTGGAAGGCCGTTTCATGTAGACCTACAACATTTGCTGGACATATGTAGCAGGTCGGAACGCACAAAAAAGTCCATCTGCGCCAAGCCCTAAACCCAACAGGAAGTCCGCCATTTTGAAAAAACACGGTGAGAATTTTGGCGATTTCCGCTTTTTGTTGTCCATTTCGGGCATTTTCACAATCGATCTCCTCCTGGAGAGAAGTTTGACGGTGTGGAAATGGTGACCCAAAGATCATTAAACGCTATAAAATGAGACGTGCCGTGTAACTGGCCTGGAGGTGCTCCGATCGGCCTAAAGCTTTATGCACATGCCCCGAGTCCCGGCAAGAGTGCACGATGGCCGGCAAGCTGAGAAATGGGGGAGGCAGTGGTGGACAAATAGGGATGGTGGAGGGAAGAGAGAGAAAAGGGGGAGGTAGAGCCACTTCAGGAAGCAGCTACAGCCACCAACCTTCTCCGTCACCGACTCCTGGACTACTTTCTCTTGCCCTTCTTTTTTTTCTCCCCCTGCTTCTTTTTCATCTTCTGCTCTTTCTTCTCTTTCGATTGCTGCTCCTTTTTCTCCTCCTTTTCTTTACGTTTCCTCTCTTTCTTTTCTTCCTTGAGCAGTTTTTCCTCCTCTGAAGAATCGCCTCTTCTGGGGCTTTTTAGAGACAAGTTCCTGCAGCCTCTGATTCTCCTGCTCCAGGATTTTCTTACCTTCCTCTGTTTTCTTGTTCTCCTCCAGCAGATTGATGTGCTCCTCTTGCAACACCTTCATGCTGGTCTCCAATTCCTTCTTTTGCTCCTGTGGGTCTTGATTGGTGGTCTTCATTTTGTCGTTTCGTTCCTGGAGGTCCATGTTCTTTGCCTCCTTTTCGTTGTTTGATGGCTTCTCCTCGTTGCGCTGGGTGAGAGCCCTTGTGAGGCCTGCAAGACAAAGAAATAACAGTTCTGGTAACATGATTGGACTTAATTAATGACTGAATGACCATAGAAGTGGGTGTGTGGCATTATTTTAAAAATGTGTGAACTGAGCAACCTCTCTTTTTGTCTCCAGCCTAAACAGTCCCCTATGGGCTGGAACTCCTTTTTAAAGGTTCCGGGAGAAACCAAATGTAGATGAGGAGAGGGGGGGTAGTCATTTCTTCAGGTGATGAACTGGATGGATTGTTTGATGAGGATGTCTGTAATTGTTTTTAGGAGATAAATACTTAGTTTTAATGGTTGTTATTATAGCTAAAAGTAAAGAGGTGTTGTGTTTTTGTGTGTCTCTTGTGTTTGGTTATTTTAGGTTAACCTTTATGTTGGCGGGCCTGAAGGGCTGATTAGGGGCTGCCTATAAAAAGCTGGAGCGCCACAATACATGCCACCAGTTAATCGCCTTGCTTTGTTGTTTTTGATCGGCACAGCAGCCCATCATGGCATCACAGCGGCGGAGGAAGAAAGTGCCACCACATCTGAAATGTCTCCTAATATTTTAATTGGCAGTGAAAATCCAGATCTTTATCCGATCTGTACGTCAATATTTGATTCAGGCTCCAGAAACAAAGACTTTAACTCAGCCGTGATCATGTAATACGGGGTTCAGTCAGGATCGCTGTCTTCATGCTCCCTCTGTCATCTGACAGCTCGGTCAGCTGACGGAGGCTCCTTCAGTCAAACTAATCCCATTTCAACGATCAGCTGATTGGTGCAAACCTCCTCCACCCAATCAGAACCAGCAGTTTTTACACTAAGTCCTGCTCTGCATTCCGAAGAACTACGAGGAATGACTATGTGCCAATAAAGTCAATGATTGACAAGTACATCTAGTTAAATGCTGGCTAGTCATCCTTCAAATAAAAGGAGAGTAATTAAATATGACCAAACTCATTTTAGTCCCTGCTGATGCCAGGTACGGCAGCCAAACGCAGTGAATGAATGTCAGATGACTGTGCAGAAAAAAAAAACTATAATCTAATCATGGTTTTGGAAAACGGCAATTTTTAATATCTTGAATCAGCCGGGGCTGCACGGTGGCGCAGTTGGTTAGCACTGTTGCCTCGCAGCTAGAAGGTCGCCGGTTGGCGTCCCGGTGAGGACACCCGCAGCGTGAGTTCTCTCCGGGTTCTCCGGCTTCCTCCCACAGTCCAGAAACATGCTGAGGTTAATTGGTGATTGTAAATTGTCCGTAGGTGTGAATGTCAGTGTGCTTGGTTGTCTGTCTCTAAGTGTAGCCCTGTGATAGACTGGTTACCTGTCCAGGTGAACCTGCCTTCACCCTGAGTCAGCTGGGATAGACTCCAACCCCCCATGACCCTCGTGAGGATTAAGCGGTGTAGATAATGGATGGATGGATGAATCAGCCGGCAGAAAGAGCGTAAAACCCCACCACAGACATAAAAGCAGAAAAAAGCCCGGCGGAGTCCGGCGGCGGTTTTCCATGAGAAGTAACAAAGTACTTCAACTACATCTACTTCATAGAGTTTGGTGTGTGTCTTCAGTGAATCCTACTTTGTTCCTCCACTCCGTTTGATAACCTTCAATAAAAACCAAAAAGGCATCACTACAGATTGGAGGACTCCATCCCCTACAGGGATCCCAGTCGTGGAGATGATCGTTTAAAGATCAAAACGGAGACAACTTGTGTGCCTCGTTATGTCAGAGCGTAACATTCACACATGTCTGGAGGGCTCGGGCGATGAAAGAGGCCATTTTGTGACAAAAGCATTTATTACTGACACTCTAAAGTCACAGTGCGTGACTTCTGCACATAAACGGACGTCTGTTAGATTCAAGCCGATGCTAGGCGAGGTCACACAAGGTGGATCGATCAGCACCAGGCGAGGTCACACGAGGTGGATCGATCAGCACCAGGTGAGTGTCTTTGGAGTTTTAAGTCATTGTGACATTTCGATGCCTTTTGTGTAAACCAGCGATGATTGGTTTGCCAGAGCTGGAGAGGAGAGAAACAACAACGACAGAGATAAAGTAGACTACATTGTAAAAAGAATTAAACATAAAAAGTTGAAAAATGGGGGCTGCAGGTGGCTCAGTGGTTAGCACGGTCACCTCGCAGCTAGAAGGTTCACATCCCGGTGAGGACACCCAAGTCTCCATGTTCTCCCCGTGCAGCGTGGGTTCGCTCCAGGTTCTCCGGCTTCCTCCCACAGCCCAGAAACATCCATCCATCCATCCATCCATCCATCCATCCATCCATCCATCCATCCATCCATCCATCCATCCATTTTCTTCCGCTTATCGGGGTCAGCAGCAGGTGGAGCAGGTCATTCCAGACCTCCCTCCACCTGGCAACGCTTTCCAGCTCTTCCTGGGGGATCCCGAGGCCAGCCAAGAGATATAATCCCTCCAGAGGGTTCTGGGTCTGCCTTGGGGTCTCCTCCCAGGTGGACGTGTTCGGAAGACCTCCAGAGGAAGCCTCCCTGGAGGCATCCGAATCAGATGTCCAGAAACATGCTGAGGTTAATTGGTGATTTTAAATTGTCCGTAGGTGTGAATGTGAGTGTGCTTGGTTGTCTGTCTCTAAGTGTAACCCTGTGATAGACTGGTTACCTGTCCAGGTGAACCTGCCTTCACCCTGAGTCAGCTGGGATAGACTTCAGCCCCCCGCGACCCTCGTGAGGATGAAGGTGTAGAGATGATGGATGGTAGTTTAAAAATGGCAAGAGTGCCACAAAAACATACTGTGATACTCAAAAACAGTAAAAAACTGTAAAAAATTTGAGCAAATATGTGTAAAATTAGATTATTTTTAGCTGATTTAAATCCAGTATAACAGCATCATTCTACAGTCACATGTAGTAAAATCAATCAATCAATAAATACTTACAATTAATTATTAATTACAAATACTACTTGTAAAAACACAGATTTATTTTTTGTCTGTTTTTCGGTGGAGTTAATGTGTAAATGAAACGTTCTCTGTAATTTTAGTGGTTATTACTTTATGTTTAACAAAATGGGGATAATCTGTAAAATAACAGTAAATCTTTCCAGTTGAAAACATTGTTTTTTTTACAGATAAAACCCTCAGAAACACCAAACAACAAGTTTAAAAGAGCCTTTCACAGAGAGGTGTAGCGTTGTTGTAATGACTCTCTTTGCCAGAAGGGGGAGACAAAAGTTCTGCACTGCATGTGAAGTACATTTTCCTGGTCTAATCATAAACCGTATTAATTCCTGAACACTCGTTATTACATGGTGCAGCTTGTTGCTAACGTGTTGATATGGAGCTCCTGTTCTTTTCTATTTCATGTGTGAATCAGCTAGAGAACCATGACAACATGCTGCAGCGTTGCACGTTGCTTTCACTGAAGCATCCTTCGGTTTTCAGCATCCAGTGCAAATGAATCAGCCGTCAGTCGCATCCCAGTGTTGATGGAGGCACCGTTGACATGTGGTGGATTTATCTGAGAGTATCCCTAGCAGGCTTCCCACCCATGAATATTACCAACAGCAATATACGGAGCTCAACAATCCTGAGCCGCGGGCACATTGACAGCACACGGCTGGAATTCATCTGCCACGATGCAGCAAATGATTGAAAACACTGAACGTTCTGTGAGATGTGAGAACGTACAGCTGTGTAAGAATCAGCTTGGAAGAGAGACGCTTCTGACTTTCCATGTCTCATGATCAGAACCATGTGTCCGCCACGTGGAGGCTCCGCCGTGTTTGTTTAAGGCTCAAGTTAAAACATAGAGATCGGCTCTCCGAGGACAAAAGGTGAAGGAGCGAGATGAGATCCACCTCACGCTGAGAAATGCTGCATAGCTTCGTGTTCAGGAGAAACCATGTTAGACACACTGACCTGTAGAAGTGAGAAAGATGAGCAGATAAACGCAGATAACCGGGTTTGTTTAACTAAATCTTCTATCCTTTTAGGCACATTTGATTTGATTTTTAACTTTCAGAGGCTTCATCAGCACATTTTAACCTCCTCTGATGAAGTGTTTTGACCCCTTTTCGAACCAAACCACAGCAGCGACGGATGAAAGCGTCCCGTCTGGCACCGCTACACACACTTTGGATCAGAACACTTCTGTGGTCGAAGCGAAGCTGCAGCGACGTCGTCTCTTTTCAGGCATGAAACACTGCGCATACGCCGCATATCTTGTGCAGATTTGGACTCCAGATAGCCCTTCTGACCCACCTCAAATATGCCTCTTCGCCGAGGGTGTGGCGTTTCTCTCTGGAAGGCAGAGGTGAAGACTTCTGAATCCAGTTGGCTCCCACCCTGCAGCAGATGGGAGGAGGCAAGCGGCCAGCGCAGCGACGCCTGGCAGCGCCGGCTGCCTCTTTAAATCACTTACATTCACATTTTGGCCGAGCTGCTCTGGATTTTTCTTGGAGACCCCACACAAGTATCCATAATCTGCCAGCGCGATAGAAGTTTTGGAAAGACTCTCAAAAGACGAGGGAATGCAAAATGTTTTATGTTAAAAGTGGAGGCCGGTTGGCGGGGTGGCGGGCTTTGTGTTGGTTGTTGTGGGTCGACGGTGGACGTTCAACTGGTGATAGTGGAAGTCAGGCCTCGAGTTTGTTGTTGCTGAGCTGAGCTGAAGGAAGCAGTATTTCATCTTTACAGCTCACAGGCAGATCCAGAGAGCAGCAGTGCAGCTGGGACGGACTCGCTTTGTAGTTTTCCATGTGAAGCTGTTTTTGCCGTCGTTTTGTCACAAAACGTTGCACAACGCCGTCTCACAGTCACACCAGTGCATCACAAGCGACATAGAAGTGCAGCCCTCGTGGGGTCTGCAGAGGACGTTAGCGTTCAGTCCAGACAGACGGGGGAGAGGAGACCCTGTTTCCATGGAGACACTCGTCTGTTTTGCTCAGAACACAGTTCAGGTGTCGGAGGAAGTCGGCCGAGTCTGAGCGAGTGACGGTGAGCCGCAGGCAGCCGGGCGCTAGGAGGGTTAATTAAGTTGATGTGAGACACAAACGAAGCAGATGCTCACACGTGTTGGTGAAGAAGCTCATTGATATAGAATAGAATAGAATAGAATAGAATAGAATAGAATAGAATAGAATAGAATGCTTTTTATTGTCATCATACACAAAGTACAACGACATTAAAAGACAACTCCAGTGGTGCAAAAAACAAGGAGAAAAAAAAAAAGACAAATAAGAACATATAAATATATTTACAGAAGGAGCCAGTAAGACGTAAATACAGTCAGGAATGAGCACGGTAACAACCACATGGTAGAATAAATATATACTGCACTGTGGAGGTAAGAACACTGTGGATCTATGAGAAATATAAATAATATGAAGAAATAAATAATCATAAATAATATACAATAATTAAAAAATATATATCGCATCATATCATATCGTATAGTATAGTATAATATAAATAATAAATAGTAAAAGTCGACTAATTTCAGTGTAACAGCAGCAGAAGCAGCATCTATTCCTCACGGTGTGTACATAAGAACAATGAGTTTATGGTTATTTTACTAATATTTCCCTTTTTAAATGAATCAACTAATAACTAGTAAAATCACAGTAACGTGTCCACATCAGAAATCAGCATTTTTTAAAGAATGGTTATTTATTCTTTTACCACATTTGACTCAGTTTTTCACTGCATTTAAATCAGCAAAGAAAATATAATTATTTTACAGATATTTGCTGTTATTTATAAGAACATGATGTATTTTGGTGACTAAGAAATAGTGAATAATGTTTGAATTGTCATTTTAACAGTTAACCTAACCCTAATATTTGCTGTTATATTAAAGACTTTCCTTGTTTTTGTTAAATTCCACTGAATAACCTGGTAAAGTTTTAATCTTAACCTGCAGGATAACGACTGTACATCACATCCATATATAAAAAAAAATTTAAAAATCTGTAACTCATTGTTTTATGACGTGTGACCATGAAATTACACAGTTTTATTGGATTTAAAAGCATCTAAAATGTTCTAATTGAACAGATAATTGCTGTTGTTTTCACAGTTTTTAATTGATTCTTTTCTGGCACTGTTGCTGTGTGATTCTGCCATCTTTAACTTTTCTGTCACACTTTTTTCACTGTAAAAGCCCAAAAAACAAAACGTTTCTAAGCTTTAAGTCTTCTTTAATAAAAATAAAAAGGCACCAGTCCTCGCTCTAAACCCAAGTCAAATCTCAAACAAACTCTCAAACTGCTACAGTGATCTGAGCCAACATGTAATTTATTCACTTTCCTGAAATGTCCTCACTTGGATGGTATAACACTCAGGCCAGTCCTCGCAGAGGTAGCTGTCCTGGCTCACACACACTCATGGGTGCGTGTGAGGACGCAGATATACATACATGTGAGGACAGATGATCCTGGAGGCTTCACTAATGAGCTCAGCTTGACTTAGAGATTTTTCATTCAACTTGGCAGGACGTCAGACGTGTGTGTACGTGTGTGTACGTGTGTGTGTGTGTGTGTGTGTGTATTAATCATCTTCACGTTGTGCCTTTTTATTCTTCTAGATCAGATCAGATCAGATTGTATTTATTTATTTAGACTTTATTTTTCACCACCAGTGATGAAACTCACATCGTCGCAGCAGAACAGATGCAGGAAAAAGTGACAAGAAGAAAAGAGAACAAATCAACTATAAATAGTAAGAGCTGGGAAATGTAATAAGACAGAGCTACACACACACACACACACACACACACACACACACACACACACACACACACACACTCTATACATACACTGTAGGTTCATACTATAAATTAAAAAACTGAACAAGATAAATAGAATAAAATAAAATAGCGTACAAAATAAAGTATGGTACAGTTATGACAAATATGGCACATAAGACAGATATATCGCACG